GGGTTTAATTCGGTACGTATTTTCAAAGAAACTGCATAAGCAATATCTCCTAAAATGGAATAAAGTGCGTACTTTAAGCACTTGTACCACATGTTTTTAATAGCTTACTAATTTATGCGCTTTTATTATGCACAATATACTGCATTTTAATTAAATAGGAAGTGTGGTAATCGTAGTTAAAAAGGCATTGCTTTGTTTTCTGGCACAAACACTAGGAAAAAATAGATTTTCACAGTTTTGGCTTTTAATTGGTTTTACTCGAAACCCGTTTGAAATAAAAGATAATAAAAAAGTTGTAGATATTCATAATTTAATCTCGTGCTAACAATTTTCCATAAGATATGACCCAAACATAAATATTAATCGTATTACAAATTAACTACAAATTAACACGAGACATTTCTTAATCGCCATTGAATACCAGATCCTCTATTGCTGGTAGCATAGCTCTAGAAGGATCGGGACGGGTATCGTAGCGAACCAGATATTGGAATGTGAGAGTAAAAGTGAGAGATGTGGACCAGTGAAGGTGGGACCAAATGGCGTGTGATATCTTCACAATATAAACACCGTGACTATAGTGCGAAAAATGACGACTGGGATAGCTGCGAGACCCGGGCTTCGAAACTTTCAAATCAAATGAGTTCAGTAGACCTAACATCGTTTGTAAAAGTTAACATTAAAAAAGAAAACATTATCAATATGGAACATAAATACTACATACATAGTAATTAAGTGGCATTAAATAAGTGGAAGAATATATTCATGCAATAAAGAGAAAGTCTAAACCCTTGTACTAACACTTGGGAGTGTTGGTAATTGATTCTTTGACATTCAATTACCACAGCCACAGACATCACCGGTATGTTTGGCTAATCAAAAGTTAACCGGTTCGATTCAGAGGAAGGCCTCTAGCTTATTAATGACCTACAATTGAACCTAGCTGGCGTTGGTAATAGAGATATAAGTAGAATTAGATACATTAAATTTGGAAATAAATAAAAATAATTTTGAAGCTAAGTATCTGACCAATTAGACGTGTTGTTTTGAATACAAGATCGCACCATTCATTAAGGCCAGTTGAGCCCAATTTTGAATAGTTTATGAACAAGAATCATTTTTTTTATCGTACCCCAAACCTTTGAATATTAGGCGAGCTTTCAAAATAGTAAACGCTGAAATCAAGTTTAAAAATTAAAATATTTTTTACCCATAAATGGTGTGTGATATCTTCACAATATAAACACAGCGATGGTGCGAAAACTGACGAATGGGATAGCTGCGAGACCCGGGCTTCGAATTTTTATTATTATTAATACAGTTTTTATTCACATACCAGGGAAAAAAACAGCATGTAGAGTGCGGGACTTTATTCTGGAGGAGGTACAGCTCCCACTAATTACAAACACCAGTAATTTTGTGATAACGCCCGTGTTTTTTCTGGACCTTAAGCCGTACAGATTTTTAATCAATTAATTAATTTACCTATTAAATTATATGTTTAAATTATAAATTTACTATTAAATTAATTTTAATTGGTTAAAAATAGATTGCCTCGTGGCTTTCGTTTTCTCGGTGCTTTTGTTGTTTTTCTTTGCAGGTCTATAAACTCATGACTAGATGGCTGTGTGGTTATAGTGCATAAAATGTGAGGGTTGCTGGTTCGATTCCAAGCGAGATTTATACCAGACCCAGATGGCATTTGTCATTAGGCCAACAATTAATGGAGAGATCTAATAAGATGTTGACTTTTAATAGCAATAACACCAGAACCAGGGATTGGACCGTCCCTCTACAAAATCGTCAAGAAATCCAAATGAGTGGAAAAATATCAAAAAATGTGTGGAAAAATGTCAAACACGTATAGAAACGGTCGTAATCGAATATTTGATTTCCGTGCGTAGGGCATGCCGCAGTTAGCATTTGATTAAATTAGAAACAAATTAAGCTAGACCATTATTAAATTTGAACTATTCTACACAACGCAACTGTTTTACCAAATATAATTGCTAGAAAAACAAGAAACTATACAGAGGATCTATTTTTCCTGGTTATCTCCCAAAACACCCAAAATATCAACCAAAATACATTTCGTCAACTTTCGCCCACACAGTTATGCTTTCTAACGAAAAGGTGTAGCATTATAAGCGTTGTCGGGGACATGGTTCCTGTACTAGCCTAGAGAATATCTGGGGCAAAACTAATAACATGTGTCAGTGATAATAACACAAGATGGCCCCGAGGGCAAAGCTGCATTTTAATTGGCTCGGAACTGCTCACTATGCGATAATGATCGCGTTCATTATGTTGTGTCGATTTAGAAAAAAACTAATTTCATTAAAAGTAACGTTTTTAGATTCTAGTTCATTATTTTTATTAGTAAGGTAAAATAGTTCAACGACTGTATTAAAACTAATGTTAAAAGGACAATAATAGGCAACATTTATAACTAAATTATATGACAAAAAATAGTTAAACCTTAACATTAAATGTTTATTTGTATAAAATACTTCAGAACCCTTATTACATATTTTTCCGGAATTGTAGTTCGTTTATATGAAATGAAAGAACGTCATTTACGGTCCCTTTCATTCTCGACGACGGCGCTTGTAGCCACTCATAGGTATAAAAACAGAAACCAACTCTGTTCTAGAACTGGGGTAGAAAAGAATCACCTAGGCTTGGATACTAGATTTTGTTTGTGAGTTAGTAATTTTTACGATTAATTGTAAACATAATGTTTTAATTTTCTGCTAGAAAGTTTATGGCTTGAATGATTGTTGTTTTATGGAAGTAAGAAATCCGTTCTATTTTTGCAAACAATAAACATGTTAATTGGAACTCAATACTTCAGTGATTTGGAAAGTGGTTGTTGATTCTTATAAAAAAAATTTATTCTTTAGTTTGACCCTTTGATTTTGCCATAAACACATTTGAAAGCATTTCTAGAAACTTTATTATTGTATACCTCAATGGCAATTATAAACAATGGCTAATACTTATTTAAATAGTTAAATATGGATAGGATTGATTATTTAGTGATTCTAAATTAATTCGTTCATGGCTAAATATCAAGGATTATGTATACTTTCCTGGTTACCCTTGTGGGGGCAGTTACCAAAATATCCCCATTCAATATTGTAAGGAGTTTTTATTAAAATAACTAAGTACCTTTAGTATATGTCCAATACTAACAAAAATTGTGTTCTGTTCAGAGTGAGGAATAAAAGGAGCATATGAATTACTAAGGCAATATTCTCTACTTAAAATAATATTTCACAGGATGGGTTAATGCAAAACACTCCCCAACTACTACCTCTCATATTTGGAACAAAAGGCTTAATTTAAATTTGAAAACAAACAAACTGGATTGGCTTATCGGTCGAAATTCAAAATTATCTGTTAAACACAAATTATTTCTATCCAACATTATATTAAAACATATTTGGACTTACGGTATTGGACTTTGGTGAACCACTTCAAACTCAAATATATAAATAATTTAAATATTTCAATCCAAAACACTAAGAACAATTTTACAAGTACCTTGGTATATGTCTAATAATTTGTTATTCATCAAGATACGAAGATACCTTTCATTACAAGAGAAATAAAAAAAAAAACTAAGCGAAAAATGTAAAAAGAATTAGAAAACCGTCCAAATTTCCTGGCAGTTAACCTCCTCGATAATAGTGAAGCTACATATAGGCTCAAAAGAATTAATCCAATTGACCTTCCAAATAGTTTCTAATTCAATATTTTTACAGATGTTTTGTTTTGTATGTTAGTGCACTTGTTGGGGTGTATTAACTCATGTTAAGTTGTCATTAAATTTACTTAATATATAAATACTTGTAAAAAAATGTTTCCCTGTACCATATATTATATATCCATTTTTATGTAAAATTATGTTAACCAAGTTGGATCCCTTACATCCATAATTTCAAAATTTTAATATGTTCTGGTTGAAACAGTTAACGTTCATGTTGTATCTTCATTAATAAAATATATTTGATGTATCTTTTTCTTTTAATGACCTGGAAATCTGATTTCATATCTTATATAAAACAACGGTTTTTCTTATAATGATTCCAGTAAAATCCCAGAGGGAACAAATGTCTGTGCAAAGTCGCTTTTACAAATTTTGTCAAAGGTAATGGTGTAAATTTTATGTAGAGTAGCTCAACGATTAAACTAAATACATCCTGAAAGTCTTAGTTGTTGTTAACAAAGGAAGTATTAGGTGAGAGAGAGCTGATCGAGAGGAAGGATATTCCTGAGCCATGTAAATGTTAATGTTTCCGCAGAGAATATGGAAAATACGTTCAATTTTAATTTATCATATGTATTGCTATATAATATTATATGCGTAGCAATGGCTACGTAGTACCTTAATCATGGGTGTAATATAAGGGGTAGTAATTGCAACTAAAAACATGATTTGTTACTTTTTGTATTCGACCAGTTTTTGTTTTTATCGTATTTGTCCATACCGTATGGTATGCAAATAAAATCCATTTAAACCACAAAGTATTTATGCTATTTATATCTTAATTACAGACATTATTGTAGGCTACTCATTTAATGATTATCTAAACAAGTCCCGAATGAAAAATATTCATCTCAAATATTGTGTGACTGCTAAAACTTATAGGGTAACTAATACATCCTGCGTAAAACGTTCTCCACGTCTACTATGGCTTACACGATGTAAGTGAATTAATTGTATGGACATTTATTTGTGTTTTGAGTTGAAGAAACCCATTTCTGATGAGAGATTGACGTCGCAGGAGAAACTGACTGACAAGCCGGAATGCATGAATGGCTGAGGCGAAGATTCGTTAAAAACGTTTGTCACGGAAGGAAAAGCCGTGGAAAGGGACAGTCGTACACGGTGGGGAGGGGGGTCACAATAACTATAGGTGGTGTCTGTTTTTTATGGTTCAATGTCATCGCACGGTGGCTGCAGAAGAGGGGGCTGTGATTAGTTATGCTCTACATCTCCCCTGTGTCCGTATGAATCCTATATAACAACCTAGCGTCGCACAAACGTAGCGTAGTGAGCAATAATGTCTGTCGCGAGGACAACACTGGTCCTAGTCTGCTGCCTGGTGGCAGTCCGTGCCGACGGCCTGGGCGTGTTCTCCCGCGTGCTAGACAAGTGTGGTGACGAACCTGACCTTTACTCCTGTCTGAGGCTGAAGACAGTAGCTCTGCTGGACCGGGCGCTGACGGTGGACACTCTACCTGTGACTGACTACCTGACCATCACCAGGGACCCCGCGGTGGACAACGCCACCCCCAGGCAACCTGTCAGGACCGAGGGTGAGCTGGAGGCGTCCCTCCCCCGCGACCAGCACAAGAGAAGTGCAGCTCTCGACCAGATGTTGCAGGACAGAGTGTCTCGTTACCTCGACACCAGAACTATCCAGATCTCCATGCCGGCTCATGTCTTAGAAGGTATCTTTGACACTGCTATAGTCTAACATGTTTCTTTTTTATATATTTTATCATAACTCAAAGCTTACAACATTTTAGAAACTTAAGTAATACTTTGAAATTGTTATTGGAAAGTGTCATCCAAAAACTGAACATTTTATAATTGCAAAAAAAGCTTATTTTCACATGTATATGTTAAAGTAGTTGTATATCTGGGTTTACATAATTCATAATAAATTACCAACTTATTTAAATTTACTTTAAAATTATGTATTTTTTTTAACGCCGTTCAATGGTAGAGGTATTAAAGGGTAATAATTGGAACATAGTTTAAAATTAGATTTGTAACTAACTTAAAGCCTAAAAATAGAAAATACTGTTATCGGGTTTATCTCGGGAATAAGTCTCACATGACAAATGTCTCAAAATTGCTTGATAATTTGTCCCCAAAGTTGGCCTAGGTCAACGATAAGATTTAGCTGTCAATTGAAATTTCTAGCTTCTGGAGAGAACTCTTTCTTAGAACATTCTCATATTCACTTTAGTCAGACCAAAATTAACATGCATTAGTTATTTACGAACAGTTTTCTACAAAATCATTAGTTTTAAAGGAGTATCAACATGACACTCATCAAAATAAATATTTTTTCAAAGACTTCTCTAATAATTAAATGGCTAATCTGCTATATTTTAAGAATTCTTTTGCAAATAATTTACTTTTTGATAATTTAATAATTTAAAATAATAATTTAATTTAAAAATTAAATTAAATTAATTTAAATTTAATGATTTAATTTTTTTAATAATTTAATTTTTGAGCTATAAACAATGGTTTATAACTCAATGAAGCTATACTAATTTAGTTACTTATTGAACGCTTCAATCTCATCACACTCTTATCATTTTGGTTTGACACTGTAACTGTAAAAAAGTGAGAATTTGAATATCCTTTTTGCTACATAGGCTACTAACAAAATTAATATTGTATTTCAGCCATTCTCTCGTAATATAAAAAGTGATCAAAAATATTCATAAAACATAAAAAAACTATATAAAAAGTTTATTACATGAGTAGCTATTACAGGAAATTACGGCCAATTCCTCAAGCATAACAACAGGATCTGTTCACAGCAAACACAATGACAATGACCGTGTAAATGGTTGTTGTCCGGTGACCAGCCAACCCTGGCATGCTGAGTAGGCAAAGTGCCTGTTGTCAGTGAGATGTTAATAACCATATTCCAGGTACTGAAACGTCACAAAAACACAATGGCAATTGTTTTTTGAATGGTTATTAACCATTTAACCAATTGGCCTATGATCGGCTAACTCTGATATGCTGAATAGGCAGAGTTAATGCTGTATAGCAGAGTTACTTTTGCTTTTTAAATGTTGCTTATCACAATCAAGGAATTCAAACGTCACATCATCAGCACGCATAGTTGACAACTACTGTACCGTGTAAGTCATTGATACCTTTCGGTCAATTCTGAAAGGCTGGGTGGTTAAAGCACCTCTTTTCATTGACTTATTATTAGTTACCACATTCAAGGACTTAACCAATACAGCAAGCACAATGACAATTATTATTAATGTAACTGGCTAGAGACAACAGGGAGATTGACGTCTTTCTTCGTTAGTTTAGGTAGTATATTTTCCTGATGAGGAAGATAGAAATTCAGCTGGGTTTATAGCATCGGGCTCTGTTACGCAGACACCGTGGCAGATGTGATGCAGCGAGGCGAGAAAGAGTGGAGTGCAGTTTAATTACATGTTCCCATAGTCCTTTCATTAAAGCGAGATGAGGGATGCCTTAGTCACCACGATCCCAGTGGGGGGGTGAGTCCCTTTACTGGGTTCGTGCTATATGCATGAGTCTGTGCCGTTGGTCAGGCTAAGTGATGTAGTCCTACAAGTTAAATGTTTTGTTCGTTGCGTGTTACAATGTGTAAATGTAAATGTTTCAACCTAAATTTCTACAATTTGATGAGTCCAATTCGGATATAATGTTTCTGTCTAGCACTTGGAAAATTCCATATTCGGGGAAAGATATGTAGTATGGATTATAAAACACTAAATTTTAATTGCAAGACGAGGTATGTGATGGTTTACTCTATAATGCATTCCTCATACTGTAAACAATATTTTTAAATTGCTGCAGACCAGCAACCTTGATATGAGGAGTAGTCAAATGCAGGATTAGTTCACAACAAGTATAATAATGAAGGCTGAAAAATAAATATTTTGACAGGATACGCATAAGCATGTCTCATTATATAGTAGCTTAAAGTAATAGCGCCTAAAGTTAATGTGATAATGATGGCCAGTCTGGGTAATTTGATTAACTATTGTCTAACAGAGGCATTTTTTCCAGCTGGGCGCAAGAAGAAAGACAAGGGTGGCATGATGATGATGGCGGCGGCTGCTATGGGTGGCATGATGCTGCAGATGGCTATGGGCAAAATAGCGCTCATCGCTGGCAAAGCCCTGCTCATCGGCAAGGTATAGTAGACAAGTTGTTAATACGTCTACATTTACACCTACAATAACATATTCGAGTGGCCTGCAACTTCACATTTTTGATAATTAACAATTTGACAAATAAATGTCATTTTTAGATAACAAGGTTATTTAAATATAAACAGATCGACCGATACATGATATAGAAAATACGTACAAGCATATGGTTATACGTAATGTTACCCTTAGACGAACTTCATATTGTTTTTGAAACTTTTTCATTTATTAAGTGACTATTAATCACTAATCTAGAGCTTAAATACCTTGTTGCCAACCACCAACGTAATCCTTAGTATCAAGGATTAAGTTGGCAACAATGTATTTCACAAAAAATATCATATAGCTAGACTCATGAAATGAGTGTAATATCATATTTAGGAACTATGACATAGGTTTGGGTGATATTTGAACAAATAAACATTGTCTTTTTCTAATCTTCATAGCTTTCAAAGCTATCTATACCCTTGGCAATATGGGAGTGCCCCTGAACTTAGGTGTTTTACGTTCTGGCAGTCAGGAGCACTCCCACATTGATATGTCAGCCTTAGGCAATAACAAGACTACAAGATCCCGCCACTCATCCTACACTTATCTCCATCCATACTTGGCTTAAAATACCTACTTTGTATGGTCGCCATTTCACAAGAAAGTATTAAAGAAAGGAATAAGAGCTAGACTACCAATGATTAAGTAGATGGGGTACGATTATCAATTGAAAGCATCTTTAATCACATGGTTATCTTACCCATACCATCTTCATGGTTCTACATAGCCACAACATTTAACAAAAATCTTCAGACCAGAAACCCGTTTAAATTTTATTTAGAAAGTTACCAATTTTCTATTTAACAAGCCATTTAAACCGGTCCTCTATGCATATTATGAAAAGTATAATTTAAAGTTAAACAAAAGTATTACTACTCTACTAATTCTGCTCAGGTGGCACTGTTGCTATCAGCGATCGTAGGCCTCAAGAAGCTGGTAGGCAGTGGAGGCGGAGAGAGCCACCCCCAGGTTGTGTATGCCGGGGGTGACCATCATGGTGGTTGGGGGCGGAGTCTGGAGGCGGCGTCCACGGAGGCGGCACAAGACGTTGTCTACCAGGCCTACAGACCGCAGTCGTAGCCTTAACTCCACCTTACTTGATATACTGCCAACCGTTTTGAGTTCCACAGTTTATTTTGTATATAGTAACCGATCACCTGGATAAATCTGGGCTGATGTATTTAACATGATATCAACTAATTTATTATTCAATGTAGCTTTCATAAAGCACTTTTGATACTTGTAAGTCAATCGAGACCAAGCTCTATTTACAATGCATCAAAGTTAGTAAATGTCTGGTATGTCCGTGGTAAATGTTATATTATCATACTGTACTATTACACAGATCCTCATAATTCAAACTCCTAAACTTACGAAGATAGGAAAAATAGTTTAGCGTTGAATATTTCGGTTAAAAGTAGAACTAAAATTTGTGACTTAGTACAAAATGTCTACATGGGAATAATAATGAAATGGGAAATTAAAAGTATTTGCATACTTATGAATCAGAAGATTTTATTGCAATCAAACTGACTTTTTACTCATTTAAGTGCAGAATATAATAAATCTCAACCTACCAAACATTTAAAATTAGGAAATCTCCATGATATTAGTTAATATAAAATTAAAAGATTAAATGTTTTTATTTCATGTTTCTTTTACTGGGAATCTTTAATAAATGCATTTGTAAATTAATAAATGCTGATGTATACCTGTTTGAGTACGAGCTAAATGCCAAAGAGAAATATCGATATTTTGTGATTTATTGTTTGTTATTTTGTGTTGTTTGTTATCGTTGATACGTGATTGTTCCTGTTTATTAAAGATTTTATCGAAATGTTTCTTTCATTTTGTTATCCTCAGCAACCTTTAGCAAAAGCAGTTTTGTGTTTACAAATATCATCCCCATTGTTTTCTATAGGCGCAAAGAAGCAAAGTGACATTTAATATTTAAAATTCACCGACAAAAGAAACTGAGTATATTTGATTACTGTCCAAACCCGCAGCCCCAATTCCATTTCATACTCTCTCCCCGCCTAAAATATGTATTTAAATTATATTAGACTAAGAAGTGTAATTTTTTTCTTTTTTGTGTGTAAATAGTATCAAGATTAAGCAGCCAGTGATAAACTCTTATCACACACAGGCAGAACCCATGTGATAATTTTTATGTTATATATGTAATGCTGATCTATTATTTGTTAAAAATTAAGATTGATTTGATTTGACAATCGGCTATTATTTACGTACACTTATGCATTTTTAGTCTAGGCATATTAGGAAAGTTAGCAGAAAGTTTAGGTACAGTCCTAATCATCACTTTTCTTTGTGTTTTTTGGGTCGCTGAACACGAATATGTGGTTTGCTGACAGATATTTTGCCCGGAACATTGGTTATTTTGTGAAAAACCTTAAAATGTGGGCACTTTTTTGGTTTTTCGGGCAAATCTCGGTAAGTATGGGTTTTTGAGAAAATCCTACTTTGTAAAATTAAAGATGACAAAATTTACTACAAGTTTCCTAGATAATGTTTGTTTCTACGACGAACCGTTTCGCCACTACAGCACACTAAAAAAGGCCAGAAGTACAACAAATTAAAAACATTGCTAAATGCTGCCGTGTTACATTACGTTTCCATGGAAACAACCCATGTTACGATAATTTTAACCATTTATTCATGATAACAAACTGAAACACACTTAAAAATACCCCCGCCGCAGCAAACCTGCAGACTAAGCGAATTTCCATTTCCCTGATTGGATTTACACTAAAATGTATCATTAGAAAAATCACATTTATTCCTTATTTAAATAAAAGTTTAACGAGTACTTAGGTTTGCTGCAACAGGGAGGGTAAAAAGGTGTTTTTTTATTTAAAATTTTATAATTTAGTATGAAATGAATGCATTTTCCAAATTTGATTAAAATATGTTCATAAACAAGCAAACTACAACAGTTTACTTAGTCTCCATAAGAATAACATGGGCATTTTAAATTTACAGATTTTTGGAATTTTCTCCGTAACCATTAGGCGCATAACAACGCTTTAATATACTAAACTATTTGTTTTTTTAAGCTCTACAAAATGGTATGGAAAGAAATCGCTAAATTTTAAGTTTATAGGGTCAAAAATAGGAAAAACAAATTTTTACCCCATAAATCCCTGTTCCCATAAAGTCCGATCATACTGGTTCGCGAACTCGTTCGAATAGACGTAGGTACACGTTTGTTTCAATTTTCATCAAAATCGGATGATTTTTTCTCGAGTTTTCGCCCTAACGGACACATATATGAATTTGAACGTATGGTGTTTTTGGTCACTAGGGGCCTCAAAACGAAAAAAAGTAAATCAGTCCTGGGTCCAGGTCTTACCATGAGTACTACGGTTATAGCTTATTCCCTATAGGGGAAATTCACTAATAAACTAACTAGTGTGTCTTCTGACCACAAAACTCCACCTGAAAGAAATATCCGTCTTTTAGGATTAAATTGTGGAAAATGGAGACAATCTTTCTTTTTATAATGTTAATAACCTCTTTAATAGGTTGGTTGGTAGGATCATGTAATTCACTCTCTTCGGGTTGAAGTTTGGTATTCCATCCATTTTGTTTATTGGCCCAAGATGAGAGAAAAAACGTCTTCTTCCACATCCTCATTCGCTTCTAAGGCTTCCTCAAGGGTAAGAAACTGAGGACCAAGTTTATCTTTGAATATTCTCAGCTGCCTACAGTATCTTCTTTATAGCAAGGCAAGGAGTGGTGAGTATGTTGTCAATTAAGTTTTTCTTGGTTGATGCTTGGTTTTTTATGGTTGAAAGGTTGATGCTCTGGCCATAATTTTGTGTAGTAGGAACCCACCATCAATAACATACTGCACTTGACCATGGAAGTGCTTGTTTTCAATGGGGACAGGGGCTTTAGGCCTTTAAAGATTTGATTTGGTTCTTTGTGCAAACCGTTATTATCAAACAACGAGAAAGAGAATGGACCCATTTCGTAGGACAAGAAGTGTTTTAGTTCTTCATCAGAATTCTTAGCGATGCTGATACGTTGAAACAAAGTGTTGGGGTTTACGGGTAAGAATTCTCTACTTTCATCGCGTAATTTACTATGGCAAGTGGCTGGACACGGTCTGCTCATCTGAATTTGACGTTACCAAAGTTAAAAGTTATCTACAACTCTTCTAATGTAATTCATCCTTTTTTCTCAACCACTATAGCAGTCAACCCTGTGGCCAGCAAAATCCCTGTGCTGAGAAAATAAATGGGGGTTTTGTGGGAACGGGAAATGTTCCAGCAGTCAGTCATACATCTTGGCATAGATTTATCAAGTGTGTTTCAGTTCATTATCATGAATAAATAGTTCAAATTATCGTAACATGGGTTGTTTCCATGGAAACCTAATGTAAAACCTTTGCAAAACGGTTAGGGTTTATTTTCGTTTTCGGTTTTGTTCAGTATTATCGTACTATGGGAACAGGAATTTATGGGGGGTTTTATGGGGTAAAAATTGGTTTTTCCTATTTTTTACCCTATAAACTTAAAATTTAGCGATTTCTTTCCATACCATTTTGTAGAGCTTAAAAAAACAAATAGTTTAGTATATTAAAGCGTTGTTATGCGCATAATAGTTACGGAGAAAATTCCAAAAATCTGTAATTTTAAAATGCCCATGTTATTCTTATGGAGACTAAGTAAACTGTTGTAGTTTGCTTGTTTATGAACATATTTTGATCAAATTTGGAAAATGCATTAATTTCATACTAAATTATAAAATTTAAAATAAAAAAAAACACCTTTTTACCCTCCCTGTTGCAGCAAACCTAAGTACTCGTTAAACTTTTATTTAAATAGGGAATAAATGTGATTTTTCTAATGATACATTTTAGTGTAAATCCAATCAGGGAAATGGAAATTCGCTTAGTCTGCAGGTTTGCTGCGGCGGGGGTATTTTTAAGTGTGTTTCAGTTTGTTATCATGAATAAATGGTTAAAATTATCGTAACATGGGTTGTTTCCATGGAAACGTAATGTAACACGGCAGCATTTAGCAATGTTTTTAATTTGTTGTACTTCTGGCCTTTTTTAGTGTGCTGTAGTGGCGAAATGGTTCGTCGTAGAAACAAACATTATCTAGGAAACTTGTAGTAAATTTTGTCATCTTTAATTTTACAAAGTAGAATTTTCTCAAAAACCCATACTTACCGAGATTTGCCCGAAAAACCAAAAAAATTTTCCAAATTTTAAGGTTTTTCACAAAATAACCAATGTTCCGGGCAAAATATCTGTCAGCAAACCTCATATTCGAGTTCAGCGACCCAAAAAACATAAAGAAAAGTGATTATTAGGACTGTACCTAAACTTTCCGCTATCTGTCACTTATATTCCTAATATGCCTAGCCTATTTGTCCGAAATTATTTTTAATGGAATTTTGTTGTACCTTCCTCACTGCAGTTACTTGAGTGGTTTGATAGCAACACATTGCTTTAAGTAGTCATCATTTGGAGATAGTCTAAGGAATGTTAAATGTAACTATGTGTATAAATAAATAATTTTACATCACAAACTGAATGGCACAGCCTCAACATTAATTAACATTATTTTTTAGCTTATAGACTCTTTAACCAATGAGATACGTGCATACAATGTTTGATAAGTATAAAATAGTAGGTAGTTATTTTCATAGTTTATTTTATAACTACCTTATCGATCTACGCTAGGGGAAAATATGAGTAATTATGCAGTATTCCCTCGTAGGACTTTATCCAAATAGGTTAAGAGTATCTTTTAATAATACGTTACAGTAGTATAGTGTGTAGTAATCCAAGCTGATAGTAAAAACATATGCTTTGTTTATTTTTAACATTGTCATTTTTATTTTCATGAATAACATTGCAACCCTAGTTATTGATAATATTGTAAACAGATTTAAAAATTTTACTTTTTGTAAAATACTATGATAGATATGCCCAGAGACCTTACAATACAGGGCTATACAATATACAGTACAATAAAGAGCCTAACTTGTTTATAGACAACTTGAGGACATTTTTATTTCACTACCGAGCTACACACAACGATATAAAAAAACTCAGATAGTACGTTGGCTACACCTCACACTGCAACTAGGCAAACACCTCCAGTTTTGTTCTTGGGGTGTAATCTGCGATCTAAATTATATTTTATCAAACCTTCTGAAGAAATAAACAAAGGTGAAGTGCCACGATCTAATAAAGCCAAAGGGTTTACTATTAAGAGTAAAGTGTACATACGTACTTTTGTTGGAGGGAATGTAAAATGGAAAATAAGAACCATACTTAGACAGCTGGGTAGGAACATATGGCTGATTGATTCTGATGGACAAACTAAAATACATACAAGTCAAATTCGGAAATATTACCCGGACAATGAATTGGAAGAGGAAGAAGAGGGAGAAGAGGAAGACAGAACCTGCATTAACCGATATCCACAGATTTGCAAGTACGAATTCCAGAATTACAACTAGCCCTCGAACATCCCCTGCAGTAGCCTCAAAACACCCGGAGTACCTCCTCAGCTGCAAAGATTAACCAGAACCTTCAGGCCACGGAGGAGGTTGATTGAAGAAGCGTAAACTTGGTGGGACGAAGTCCTATGTTTGAATATTGTTTAAATTGCA